TCAGCAGGACCTCTGTCAAGCACTCCCACTGCTCTGCAGGAGTTGCTCCTGCACATCCTGAGGTTGGTGATGTCATAGGCAAAGCATGCCAAAGGTGATACGAAAGGGAATTGAGGGATTTCCAAGACTGGGAATTCCTTTTTACCATTGTGGGGTGAAAGGTATAAACTTCAGGCTACAAAATAGCTGCTGTTCTGCAAGGAGGAGGAAAGGAAACTGCTTTACTGCTTTTTCTTATGCTGCTTCTTCCTGTGGCCAAACCTGGCATGTGGCGCAAACATTCACACATGATGCAGGAGCAAACACTGTTTCTGGATGCCCTCCCTTTTGTGCATCTTTTTGTCTGTTATGTGCATTAGGCCATGAATGGGGCCATGTGCAGTTATGCCGTGATATACCAGGAACAGGAAGGTTATATCCTATGCTGGGAGAGAATGGTACAGAATGGAGCTTCGGAGGCTGCAGTGTAAGTGATGCAGAGGAACCAAACCACTTTAGCCAAGGAAGCACATGGTGTCATGAGAAGTGATAATGTAGCAGTAGTCGTTCCCATAGGCCAAACTGTGTTTGTGAAATGTGGTTAATCTGCTGTTGTTTGGTTGTTGGGTTTTAGTTTTGGGCGGGGGGAGGTGGGGGTGTGTTTGTGCTTTGTTTTTTTGTTTTTAAACTAAAAGTGCTGCATTGTCCATATGACTGGAAAACAATCATGAGGTAAAAAGCTTCAGACATGGAAGAAAGCTACGGAATGAAGTCTCGTGTTCTTTTTCCACTCACTGTGCCACACTCCTGGGTTTTATTTGCTCCCTCCCTCTCAAAACCCTGAGATGCCACTGACTTCTACTGCTAAATGCTACCCAGTATCTCACAATTTTAAAGGTATCCTTATCAAGGCCATCTGCACAACAGATGAGCGGGGTCTTGCATAGTGGAGCACTCTCACTGTCCGTTCCAAGGGCTGTCTCCTTCGCTGTGCCAGACAGGTCCTCCGCTGGGGTCTGCAAATTGCCAAAGCCATAGGTTAGTCTCCCAGTTCACACAAATCTTGCATCCTCTCTCTAAACAAGTGCCAAGGACAAACCCTGTCCTAGGACTTAGAAGCATTTCTCTTTCTGCCAGATCATTTCAGATTGGGTTTTCAAAGGTGCTTAATGAGGCTAGGTATTCAATTATAATTAAAAGTCCATAAGAATTAGGTGCCTACCTGAAATCCCTTTTGGAAATCCTACCTCTAATAAATTACAAGGTAAACAATGGCCACTCGTTCTAATGACATTAATCAAACATGGGCTGACATTCACTTGTTAAGTGGAAATACATGGTTACAATGGGCTCATTGTAATGCCACACTGCTCCATCCGCAGCTGTATTCATGGCAAAGGTACCAAGGCCAACCTGCTGCAAAGCCAGATTGAAAACAAAAATCCTCAGCCACTGAACTTGCATCTCCCAGGCTGGGGAGGGGGATATTTTCTCTTGCAAAGGGCAGTGGCTGTTTTCTTTGTGTCAACATTTGTGTAGGTAACTCCTCCACTCATCTTTTGGAAAGCAACTCCTACATAACTGACTTAAACACAAGTTTGTGTTGCCTTCTAAAACATGCCAAAGTGTGTATGAAGATAAGTCCTTTCCTCTCTGACATGCTCTGCTCCACTGGAAGATTACTTCTCTGCAACTCTCATCCCAAACCACATTTCAGAGGTGAGACTGAAGCTGGGCTCTGCTTTGCTCTCACTGTGTGCCAGTCTCCCTGCCCATGGTCACCTGGCCAGCTGTGCCATCCCCAGTGCAGTCCCTTGCCATGGCTGCATCCACTTCATCCTCAAAGCCCGTCTCCTCCATGGGACACAGACCTCCTCTCCCTTCCCTGGGACCTCACTCGTGCCAGGTAGAAGGAGAACTGCCACAGAACTGTGTTTGTACCAAGATGTGCCGGGGTAACCAGGGTACCCGGATACGGGTTCTAAGTTCCGCCAACAATGGCAACTGCTGAGACCCGCCAGCCCCACAACACTGGGGCCCTCTAGGGCAGAGTCACCTCTCCCCACCCAGTTTTGCCATTGATTTGTGGTCCTACAAAAATAGGCAGAACTCATGGGTTTTCCCCTTGCTGGTAGTGGTCAGGATATTCAGTGCTGTCAATGGCTCCTGTGGGCAGGGGGAAGGAAATGTCCTTTGCTTTCTTTGTTTGCATCTGTGGGAGCTTGGTGGCATCTGTGGCACTTGCTTGGTGCTGGGTTTGCCCCTGCAGTGAGTCCAGCACCTGTAACTGTGCATCAGTTCAGACTGTTCTGGCCTCTAAAGGTGACACAAAGTGCAGCTCTTGGAGTCACGCACGTGGCTGTGTGCGCCGTGCTGGCTGTCTGCGAGCAAGGGTGCAGCTCCTGGTGTGAGCAATCAGTTTTCCTCTAGGGCTTGTGCACCAGCAACAACAGGCCTTTCTCCAGCTCTCCCACTGCATCTGCTGAGCTGAAGGGAAGCACCAGCCCCAAGAGAGAGCCAGGCTTACGTGGGGCCGGGGTTGATTTCTGTAACAGAGGCAGTCCCATTTGATGAGGTAAAGAGGTGCAACCAGGAAAAGGGACCTCAGGCTGCACCTTAGGTGTTTTTCAGGGAGATGGTTGGAGTTGAGACCTCAATTCTCATCACAGTGTAATGGAAATTCAGGGTTACTTCCTTCACAGGTGGCAGTGAAAGCCAACAGCAGTGAGATCTCACTCTCCTGGGTAACATCTCTTTTAAAGCTCTCCCTAGAATAAATTGCACATGCCAGGAAGAAGTCTAGAAAGGCTTTAGAGTTTAAAGGGACTTTGATTTGGAAATTTTCTTCAAGGCGAAATGCTTTCACAAAGAAGAGTATGTTGGGCTCCCATTGTGCCCTGACCGGTCAGACAAGTGCGATTGTTCTGTCCCTCGGACAATTAGTGTGAGTGCTGCAGCTGTGATTCAGCTGGGCTCCTGTGCCACATCGCTTCTGGCACCGGGAGTCATCTCAAGGGCTGTACAAAGGCCCCCTCTCTCTGAGGCCCCCCCAGGTGTGGCTGTGCAGAGGGACCAGCACTGCTCCTGGCAGAAGTTTGGATGCTTTTTGGTCAAGCGTTTCTCTGTGCAGCCAGAGATGCTGACCTGAGCCAAATGCCTGGTGCAGGTAGTAGCCTTGGGAAAGTACCTATTGATGGGCCTTGAAACAGAGACAGGTTCTTGTTTTCAGGCTGTCTTAGGCAAGTTTGACCTTTCCCCATGATTGAATTCAATGATGACAAAAATCTATTACGACAAGCCCTCCCCTTAAGACGTCTGCAGCATTTTTCCTCCTGTGTCTGCTTTGCTTCCTCCCCCACATCTGAAGTTTTGCTGTCAGCTCTCTGACGCAGGAGCCTTACACAGGCAGGCACTGAGCTGATGCAAAGACAATTACCTTCTAATGCTTTGCAGTTAGGTTTGCTTTGACCATCTGAGGTATGTTACAACTTGTTTAACCTATACTAGGATTTTACAGTATGTTATGTATTTTTTAACGTAAGATAACCTATGCAGAACAAAGCAGTGCTGACAGCACGGGTAAATGTACCTATGCTGCTTCAGCCTGGTTGTTGGGAGGACTATGTTAGAGGTGGTTTGGTTGAAGGGGATGTTGAGAATGCAGATGATTTCTCAGCACTTGCTACCAACCACCCTTTTTTTTGTGTTTGCTGCCTGCAGTCATGACATCTGTCCCCAGCATGGCAGGCAGCTCCCTTCCTTTTTACCTCTAAAGGTTTAAACAAAGAAGTTGCCAGCTTATGTTCTCACCCCTCAAGACAGGGTATTGAAGGGTAGCATGTTCCTGGCTAACAGGAGCACAAGAGAAATGAAGCTTCTTCAGCACAAGCTTTCACACACATTAGCAGCTAGATTAAAAGCCCTTTAGGAGCTCTAGGGACATACAATAGTTATTAGCATAGGCATAACCCGTATCTGCATGGCCATATCTGTGTCCTTGTGAGATTACAGCTTCCACATGGCATGTGACCACAGCGTGGAGCAGCTCTCTTGGCTTATCATGTGTACACTTCACTGTTTCAGAGAACAGAGAAGGCCTTGAGCTCCCCTTGAAAATCCCAGTCTTTGTTCTTCTACCTTTCAGTGTATGCTGCACTCAGAGCTCAGCCGAAGCCATAAACATACAAACAGGAGGTATAGTTGGAGTTTCCTGGCCAGCCTGCATCTGAGGATCTCACTGTCTTTAGGAGTTGTCCATTAACCTGGTTCACAGTGGAGCAACGATCTTAGTAGCCCTCTCCAGCATTACTTGGTGTAGTGGCAGAGCAGGAGACTAGACTGCTGAGGTTGCAAAATGCCTTTTTTCCCAGCTGAACTGTACCATGATGTTCAAAGCTGTGCTCTGAGCAAACAGCTACAAACCTGCCCTGTCTGAATTTGAATTTTTTTTGGTAGCACTGAGTCAGATTTCGATTAATTTTGTTCATCATGTTTGTCTGGTGGACAAGTCAGCTGCTGCGAGATCAGGCATGAGACATGCCTTTGAGTCCTTGGAAGACCGTGGTGGTTTCCCTTCCACCTGCCCCTCTAGAGGACAACGTTACTTTTTACTTTGAAGCTTATGATGTCAGAAGATGGCATAACCCAGACCACATCAGTGCAAATCTGTCGGATTATATTGCCTGCTTAAGGGCAAGAGTCCTTTGAAACAATGTTCTTCTTACTGGATAGGGAAAAGTCAGGAGTACAAACAGATTATGTATCTCATATTTCTCCCTTGGAAGGAAAGGCAGCCTAAGTGCCAGTGAAACACACTGTGCTGTAACACTGCACCTTAGGGAAAACTTTTCCACTGACAGCTCTTTTGTGAATATCAATTTCTACTATTTGAGTGTCTTAGTATTCCAGGAGCTGTGCAAGTGCAAATACCAACAAACTTCTCTATTACAGCAGCTCTTCCAGTGCAAGAGGAGGCATGTAGCCAGAAAAAGACACAGCTGTGAAGATGCTCTGTTCATGCTGCTATTTGTTATTTGCTGGTTTAGGCAGATTTAGCATGAATACCACATGTGATGTGATGAGTCAGGTTGCATATAATACATGCAGGCATCTGATGCAATATTTATTTACTGTAGGTCACAGGGAAGGAGAGCTGATAAACACAGATAAATATACAGGTATTTTACATTATACTTAAACCAACTGCATGTACACGTGGTTTAGTTAAACAGAAAATCAAACATCATTGCCAGATGTATTGCAATGTAATACTTAAGAGGATTATTGTAATGTCAAATGGAATTGTTATGAGGAATGTTTTTCAGTAACCTGTTCTTACCAGGAAGGTGGTGAATGCTTCATTTGATAGAGTGATTAATGATACTGGGCACAACTGCTCAGGCTGCAGGGGTGGAGGCTTAGCTAATTGGATCTGGAAATTCCTTTCCTGGTGCTTAAGGATGATGAAAACTTTCACAGCCAAATGGAGACTTGTCTTCTCCCTGCTTAAGTTAATAAATCTTGTATTAGGGGAAGAGATCTGAAAGAGAATTTGGGCCTAGTTAGTTGTTTCTATGTGGCATTATTAGAGACATTGTAATATGCTATACGATATAGTTGTGTTGTGAGTTGCTTATCTAACCACTTGTTTGAATTAATGGTTCTTTACAAAACCCAAACATGATTTGTAACCAGGTGTGTTTAAAAGCCATAAATATGTCTGCATCTCTTATTCATTTCTTGCAAAATCTGATCAGGTGTGTCCCAAGTACTCCCATACTGCAAGACACAGCTAACCAAATCTTCCACAGTGCCCAAAGCCACCAGTGACTAACATCAGGTCCTGGACACCTCCTTGTCAGTAAATGTATCTTCAGGTGTTCCTACGTTATTTTATGCTTCAATAGTTTTGTAGATGTTTGTCTTTAGCTTTTCAGCTTATTAAAGGTGTTCGCTAATGTCACGTAACTTTTTTAAGCTGCTTGAAGTTCTCAGGAACTGAAAAAGCATTATCAGCTTCCTCCATACTTTGCAACTTGCAGCCTGTGAGAAACAGAAGAGTTAAAGGCTTTCCTTCTTACTGTGCTTCACAAGTGTTCAGGTTTTAATACAAATGGAAACAGACATTGTTAATGACTTGTTAATACGACTGTCCCTTTGGGGCTGCTTAGAAAATCAGTTCTATAACAAGTTGGGTATCTCTTTATTGAAAATAGTGTAACTTTCCTTAAATCTTCTGGATCACGTACTGTGAACTGCCCTAGGTGGTACCTGCCTTGCTTGCTTCCCCTCCCTAGCAAGTTTACCCACCATCTTAGCAATGCATTGGAGAAGCCTGGAGAATGGTGAGACTGGTACCCCTGTGCCAAAAGGTCAGCTCTGCCTAGGGAATGTGGCAGGAGTTTGGATGGGATTAGCAACATGTGCAGAGAGGCACCAAATGTCTAAACCAAATAGGAGCCCAGAATGTAGAGGTAGGGAGTAATCAATAAATAAATAAATGAAGGAAAGATGGGAGAACTAAGCACTGCTTGGGAGGGAAGAGAGGACTTGAAAAGCAAGAGCAAGGGAGAAAGGTGGGCACAACCAGGTGGGAAACACCATTGCTCTGGGAACTAGGGAAAGAGCTCTCCTAGTTTCAAAATGGAAGAAAACAGCCTGAAACAGAGAGGGAGGGAAACAATCTAGAAGACAAATGTCCATCAAGACAAGGATGTCTTTACAGAGGCTGTACAGAACTTGGTGATGCTTTTTTCTGTTAGTTATAAAGAAAATTAACTCCTGGGAAAAAGCCTGCTGGTTCAGAGAACAAAGTGCCAGTCCTCTTGCGCACAGCCCTGCTGGGGAGGTGAAGCGAGGAG